TCCTTCCTTCCTTCCTTTCTTTCTTTCTTTCTTTCTTTCTTTCTTTCTTTCTTTCTTTCTTTCTTTCTTTCTTTCTTTCTGTTTTGAAGATTTTATTTTTAGATAATCTCTACATCCAACTTGGGGCTTGAATTTATAACCCTGAGATCAAGAGTCCTATGTTCTACCAACTGAGTCAGCCAGGCACCCCTCAGTTCCTGGTGTAGCAGGATTCTCACAGAGAGTCGTGACACGGAGGCTTTTCTACCCAAGAAGCAACTGTATTAGTGCCAGCACTGATCAGATGGGTTCTACCCAAAGAACTAAGCCCCCAAACACCATGTGGCCTAGTTTTTAAGTATATTTTCTACTTCTTTGTCTCCCATACATGGTAACACACGCAAACATGCAGTCTGATTAAGTGGTCTCATGTTACAAGGTCAGGAGGGATGTTGCCACGTGCATGCATAGCCAACTTACCTTGAGTTGGGTTTTTTTGTTTTTGTTTGTTGTTGTTGTTGTTGTTTTTCTTTCCTTAGGGAGGGAACCCTACCACCCTGGTTTCTAATAAAGAAAGTAAGAATTAGGTAAATTAAATCACACATTCCAAAATCTCAGAACCAGAGCCCAGGCCCTGCCTTTAGATTCCACCTCTGAACCAGATGATGCATTTAGAAAATTTTCCTGACTTTTTAAAGTAGTTTCCACACCCAGCATGGAGCCCAACTCAGGGGCTTGAACTCATGACCCTGAGATCAAGATCTGAGCTGTCGAGAGTCAGATATTTGACTGACTGAGCCACCCAGGTGCCTCATTTCCTGACTTTTTTTTTTTTTTTTGCCTGAAAATATCTTGTTATTATTTAAAGCACAAAAACTGAGACCTAACTTATACATTTGTACACAGGAAAAAAATACCAGAAAGTTTACAAAATGTCGGTCACTGCCTTGAATATACATGTACAGCCAACGCATATACATATACATACAATGGAATATTATTCATCCATAAAAAAGAAGGAAATCTTACTATTTGTGACAACATGGATGGACCTTGGGCATTATGTAAATGAAATAAGTCAGGCGGAAAAAGACAAATACGATAGGATCTCACTCATGTGGATTCTAAACAAAACAAAACAAAACAAAGCACTGAACTCAGTTACAAAGAACAGATTGGTTGTTGTCAGAAGTTGGGTAGTGGGGGAAGCGAATAAGGAAGGGGGTGGGGAGAATGGGTGAAGGTGGTCAAAAGGTACATACTTCCAGTTGTAAGATAAAAAAGTCCTAGGGATGTAAGATACAGCATGGTGACTATAGTTAATACTACTGCATTATATATATTTTTTAAATTATTTTTTTAATGTTTATTTATTTATTTATTTATTTTTTATTTTTTATTTTTTATTTTTTATTTATTTCTAGGAGAGATAGAGAGACAGCATGAGCAGGGGAGGGTCAGAGAGAGAGGGAGTCACAGACTGAAACAGGCTCCAGGATCTGAGCTGGCAGGCAGCACAGAGCCCGTTGCGGGGCCCGAACCCACGAACCGCAAGATCATGACCTAAGCGAAAGTCGGATGCTTAACCGACTAAGCCACCCAGGCCCCCCTGTTTATTTATTTTTTGATAGAGAAAGAGAGAGTGCGAGGAGGGGCAGGGAGAGGGGAGGGAAACAATCTGAAACAGGCTTCAGGCTCTGAGCTGTCAGCCCAGAGCCCAATGTGGGGCTTGAACTCAGGAACGGTGAGACCATGAGCTAAGCAGAAGTTGGATGTTTAACCAAGTGAGCCACCTAGGCAACCCTACTGTACTGTATATTTGAAAGTTGTTGAGAGTAGATTTTGTCGTTCTCATCACAAGATAAAAATTGTAATGGAATGATGGGTGTTAATTAGACTTCTTGTGGTAATCACTTTGTGATATATACAAATATCAAAACATTATGTTTTGAAACTAATATAATGTTATATGTCAGTTATATGTTGATAAAAAGAGAAAAAAAACACAAAAATCATGTAAGCTTACATTAGCATAATTTTATTCCAGAACTTTTAATAAAATTGCGTTTGATGTGGAAGTTACTTAAGAGAATGCTCAGTCCTATGTGTTTGGAACTCTAGGCATGGGTCATGCCTCCAACCCTTGTGGTATTAGATATGCCTGTTTACATGATAGCTTCAAAAGATTTACAGCCAATGATTATAAAGGCAAGGAAACAGAACTTGATTTACTTCAATTTTGTCCTTCAATGTAATCAGTTGGAATTTTGTGTTAAAATTGAGAACAGTGAAATAAAATGAGAGCCAAAATATTTTTGCTTGGTTAAGTACAAATTTTAATTCATACATGAGATCTTTTACTGAATGGGAATCATATTTTTTAAATGGAAACTTAACCTTTTAAAAAAATTTTTAACGTTTATTTTTGAAAGAGAGAGACAGAGCATGAGCAGGGGAGAGGCAGAGAGACAGAGGGAGACACAGAATCTGAAGCAAACTCCAGGCTCTGAGCTGTCAGCACAAAACCGTATGCAGGGTTCCAACCCATGACCTGATCATGACCTGAGCTGAACTTGGATACTTAACCGACTGAGCCACCCAGGCGCCCCTGGAAACTTATTCTTTAGAAATTGTTAGCTGTTTTAAAATGAAAGGTGAATCAGGAAAATAAATATTACATCAGGGGTACAATTTAGCTGTTTTGGTTCAAGAGTCCCAGACTCCACTGATTCAGCCAGCCAGGCGCCCTTAAAGCAAAACTTCTTTGAAAGAGTTGTTTACAATGTTTCCGTGTCCCAGCAACATCAATTCGCCTTCTCTTCTCACACATTCCCCTCAGGCTTCTATCTCCTCTGCAATTGCTTTTGTCAGTCACTGATGACTTCCCTCTTGTCAGATCCAACAGGCAGTTAACTGGTTCTTAGCAACATTCAATGTACCTGAACAGTTCCTCTTTTATTTATTTATTTTTTTAAATGGCTTATTTGATTTAGAGAGAGGGGCACCTGGGTGGCTCTGTCGGTTGAGTGGTTGAGCGTCTGACTTCAGCTCACGTCATGATCTTGTGGTTGACAAGTTCAAGCCCCATGTCAGACTCTGTGTTGACAGCTCAGAGCCTGGATCCTGTTTTGGATTCTGTGTCTCCCTCTCTCTCTTCCCCTCCCCTGCTCATGCTCTGTCTCAAAAATAAATACATATTTAAAAAATTGATTTTTTTAAACAGAGTGGGAGAGAGAGGGAGAGGGAGAGAGAGACTCCCAAGTAAGCTCTACCCTGTCAGCTCAGAGCTTGACTCAGGGGTTCAATCTCACGAACCATGAGGTCGTGACCTGACCTGAGGCAAAATCAAGAATCTGTGGCTTAACCGACTGAGCCACTCAGGCGCCTGAACAGTCCCTCTTTTGAATGCATACTTCTCTTGGCTTCTTGAAATATAATCTCCTGACTTTCCCCCTACTTCTCTGTTACTCCTCAGTCTCCTTGCATGAACTTTCTGTTCTGCTGAACCCTATGAGGAGGAGGTGCTGAAGTTCTGTCCCCAGTCCTTTTCTCTACCCAGCTCCCTAATTGGTATCACTCACTCTAATGGCCTTATAGCCACCACTTCTGTGCTGACAACACCCACATTTACATTCACAGCCCTAACCTTTCCCTGAGCATGTGTAATAGACACTTCAAAACCAACATGTTGCAAATGGAATTCTTCTTTCAGCTGTCTCCAAATCTGCTCCTCTCCTCCTCGTTCTATATTACCAAATGGTACAGTCAGCACTTGGTTGCTCAAGCCAATAATCTAGGGGTCATCTTTGATTCCTCCTTTTCTGCCAGCCCTTCACCATTCCAATCCATTACCAAGTCCTGTCTCTTTTAATTCTAGAATATCCTCTAATCGTCGTCACCACCCCCCCACCCCCCAAACACTAAGAGCTCTTTCTTGGAGAGCTCCTTTAGCTTTCTAACTGGTGTCCCTGCTTTGATCTCATCCACTATAAGCCATAAGCCTCCAAGGAAACAAATGATTATTTTTAAAACTTAGATCCTATCAATTTCCTGTTTAAAATCCTTCAGTAGCTTCCTATCACACTTTGAATAAAGTTCAAACTGCTGTCCATGGTCTCTAAAACCATCCCCATCATGTCATTCCACCCTCTCCTTTGCTCACATGGTGGAGGTCCCCCAGTCCCCGCGTGATTCCTCTAGCATGCCAATCTCTTTTTGCCTCAGATCTTTCTAATTTTCCTATGGGGCGGTTCCTTTCAGCCACTTAGTACTCAGCTCACATCTTCCTGTTCTGTTTTCTCCGTGGCACTCAACACCAAAGAAAATTCTGTTAACTATTGGCTTCCCTATATTCATTTGTCTGCCCATTTCGGATGAAAATTCCTTGAGGGCAAAGATCCTTGATTCTGTCTTGTCTGCCATTGCATCCCTAGTCCCCCAGAACAGTGCCGACACACAGGAGGTACCCAGTAAGTCTCCTGGCGTAAAGACACTGTGCCTCGGAGCTCCTAGGATTCAGTTTCTACACACGAGACAGGGGTACCTGGTCTATAGCAGAGAAGACCCAGGCCTCCAGGAGCTTATGGGAAGAACCCTGACCGGGGGGGGGGGGGGGGGGAGGTGGAGGCTCTCCTGTCTCCTACACCCTTATTGGCCTCTGCCTCCAGCAGGCTTCCTTGGTTTTTCCGCTCTTGAGACTCCACAAGGCCTGGAGTCTGGTGTCCTTGTCCCTACTTGGGCTTAACAGAGATGCTCAGACTGAAGAGTGGATGGGGTAAGTGGGGTGGGGCAGACATAAGATACAAGATACAGTGAAGGTTTGAGGTCCCAGGGCTGGACCCAGGTGCCCGCTGGAGCGGGGCGGGGCAGCTGCTGATGGGTGTGTCGGTGGGTGCGCCCCTTGGCTCCGCCCCCCGGCGCCTTGGTAGGTAGAAGCGGAGCGCGGTGACTGATTGTGTCGTGGACACCCGACCTGCAACCCCGTGGCGTCGCGTATCAGCTGTGCTCTGGTGAGGGTCTGTAGCCGCACACAGTCCTGATGTGCAGCCCATCCCAGGAGGAGATGGGGCAGGAGGCTGAGAGGCTGAGCCAGTGGCAGGAGGCTCAGCACCAGCTCGTGCAGGTGAGTCCAGAAATCCGCACTGGGGCGGGCGTGGGGAACTCGGGGTGGGATAAATGCAAGCTGGCGGTGGAGGGAAAATTTCTGGCGTATCAGAAGTGTGAGGGACGGGGTTGGGAAGGGAAGAGGGGGTGGGAGATCGAGGACACAAGTCACGTGTCGTTTATACAATTAATATCCACCAAGCATTAGCACCTCTGCTGGATGCTTGGAGGTGGAGGGGTTTAAAAAAAAAAAAAAAAAAGTTCCAGGTAACGTTTTGTCGAGGGACTTGAGTATCCAGGAAAGAAGACAAAGTTAGGAAGTCAGTGGGGAGCAGGCAAGAAGGAAGAAATCACTAAGTGGCAATACTTTGCCAAGACCCTGGGAATACCATGGTGAGCTTACTATAAGATATTGTACCATTTTATTAATAAATCGCTGAATGATTGAAAGTGTACAAATTGCTATGAAGGAGAACAGGTGTCACAGGAACAAACAGCAGAAGTGTTTGAGTTGATTTAGGAGGTTGAGAAGACAGCTGAGGATTTGAGGTGGGACTGAGAAACTGGTTAGGTCAAGGGTTTGCAGGGCCTGAGACCAGAGACTGTACGCCTTCACCCTGGAGGAAATGAAAGATGGACAGAGACCAAGACCAAGAGAGTGATGAGAGCGTGGCCCAAGGGGAGGGAGTCAGGGATTCCCCGACCTTACTGAATCATGCAGGGGTTTCAACCAGTAGGAAGCCACTGAGGAATTTAAATGTGATCAGTCATGATTAGATTTGCATTTTTTATAGAGTGCCCTGGTGGAGGTGGGCAAATTCAAGGCAATAGTTAGAAAGGTATTGTGATAATCCAAGTGAGAACTAAAATGGCAGCCAAGGGGCGCCTGGGTGGCTTAGTCGTTGGGTGTCCGACTTTCGCTTAGGTCATGATCTCGCGGTTCGTGGGTTCGAGCCCCGCGTCGGGCTCTGTGTTGACTGCCAGTTCAGAGCCTGGAGCCTGTTTCAGTCTGTGACTCCCTCTCTCTCTGACCCTCCCCTGCTCACGCTGTCTCTCTCTCTCTCTCTCCTAGAAATAAATAAAACATTTAAAAAAAAAAATGGCAGCCTAACTAGGGAGGTGAGAGTGGAGACAGAAAACCGAATAGACCCTGGACATGTTTTGGAGGTAGACACTGCAAGCATTGGTAATTACTTAGATCTAGGTGGTGAAGGAGCCATCCAGGACACCTTACCAGATTTCTGGCTTGCATGGTAGGGGAAGAATGGTGTCATTTTCTGAGAAGGCAAAGGATGAGAGGGAACCGGCTTGTTGTTGTTGTTTAACCCCTGTGGCTGGGTGAGTAGAATGAATGGGAGTTTTAGATACAGTCCGTTGAAGTGCCTTTGGGCTATCCAAATGGACTGAGCATTAGGCGGCTGGAAGATTCAGGAGAAGTCTGCCCTGGAGCTACTGGTTTAAGAACAAGTGGAATAAAAACTAAGATGGATCATTAGCATGAGAAAGATTGCCTAGAAATTTGTAGGTGAGGGAAACCAGTAGAGGAGACTGAGGAGGATGGAAGACCAGGGAGGAGGAAGGAGAAAAACCAAGCAAGTGTGACAAATGTGTTCCTGAGTCCCAAGGGAGGAAAACATTTCAAGAAGAGTGTGGCCAGTAGTCTTGGGAGCTCCTGAGAGGTCAACAAGAAGGGATCCGGCAAGTGTTTGGACTTAGTAGTGACTATGAAAGTCATTGATGACCTTTATTATTTTATTTATTTATTTTTTAAAATATTTTTTAAAAATGTTTTCTTTCTGAGAGAGAGAGAGAGAGTGCGGGTAGGGGAGGGGCAGAGCGAGAGGGAGACACAGAATCGGAAGCAGGCTCCAGGCTCTGAGCTGTCAGCACAGTGCCTGACGCGGGGCTCAAACTCACGAACTGTGAGATCATGACCTGAGTCGAAGTGGGACGCTTAACCAACTGAGCCACCCAGGTGCCCCCAACAATGACCTTTATGAAAGCTATTTCTATGGAGAGAGGGGGGCCAGACTGCATTTGAGAATAATAAGGCAAGATAGTGGTAAAGTGTATTTTTTAGACATCTCCAAAGAAATTTGCCTGTGAAGGATCAGGAAAATGAAAGAGGGCCTTCACAGAGAGGAAGGAGAAAGGGGCAGAGAACCCCAGAAATACGCATCCAATAGGCAGTCATCTGGGTCCTATTATGTGCCTACTTTATGCTAGTTTCATATAGTGGTAAATAAAACAAGAGAGGATCTCCTCAACCCTTCTAGGGGTAAAAAAATTATTTTCAGGGCACCTGCGTGGCTCAGTCTGTTGAGCGTCTGACTCTTGATTTCGGCTCAGGTCATGATCTCACAATTTGTGTGTTTGAGCCCCACATCGGGCTCTAAGCTGACAGGGTGGAGACTGCTTGGGATTCTCTCTCTCCTTCTCTCTTTGCTGTTACCCTTCTCTCTCGTGCACTCTATTTCTCAAAAATAAATATTTTAAAAGAATAAAAATAACGTTTTCTTCCACAGTCAAAACCTTTTCAAACCTACCAAAATTATAATTTCTTTTTTTTTTTACAGCGAAGACAGTTTTTTTTACAGCGAAGATAGTTTTTGTTTTACAGCGAAGACCAAAATTATAATTTCTTAATATAATCTTAAATATGATTCTTGTTCAAATTCCCCTAGTAGTCCCTAAAATGTCTTTAATGCTGATATGTCCAAACAGGATCCAATTGAAGACCATACACTGCATCTGGTTATTACATCTCTTGAGTTTCTTTGAAATTAGAATAGTTTTCTTTTTTACTGACTGCCTTTCCATTTTTCATGATCCTCATTTGTCTTATAGACAAATCCTTCTTCTGGATTTATCAGGTTGTTTTCTCATGGTATAACCTAGCTTGACATTCTATCTCTTATATCACCTCTAGATTGGAGTTAGGCCTCATAGTGCTAATTGGATTCCAGATCATTGGTAAGAATGCCTCATAGGTACAATAGGCTTCATCTTCATCAGAAGACATATCTGGCTTTCCACATTTGGGTGACGTTAGAATTGAGGTAGTGAAAAGCCTGATTGATCTCTTCAAACCTAAGATTTAGCCTTGTGGTCAGAAAGTAATCCATGTTATGTTACCTTGGACACATCCAAATGTCATGTCCAGCATGTCCAGTGCCCCATCTACCTGCTGGTGTCAACCAAATATTAATTTTTCCTTAAAAGTTTCATTAAGAGTTGTAAACTAATGATTTTCCAATCCCACCATTCCTTCTGCATTTATTAGTGTGCATTCTTCTGTAAAATAGGGTTTTTCTTAAACAACTGGACTCTTTTTGTGATTTTGAAAGAAGTTTCCTCCCGGAAAGATAATAAACACTTAAGTCTTTCACTTCAATTCACAATGTTCAAAGCTTCTGTTACAACCAACAGTCGTTATTCTTTTTGATTCTCAAACTGTCACAAATTTGGCCAGTAGGAACCCCTTCTGTGTCCTTTTTTAGACATTTAAAGAAAGTGTGGTAAAATCTACATAATAAAAATATCATAACCATGTTTAAATGTATAGTTAGTAACGTTAATCATATTCACATTACTGTGCAGCCATCACCACTATTAATCTCCACAGCTTTTTTTCAGCTTCCTAAACTGAGGCTCTTTAACCAATAAAAAGTAACTTCCTAATTCCATCCCCCACCTCTACTCCAAATCCCACCAGGCAACCACAATTTTACTTTCTCTTTGAGAGCTCCGAATCCTAACAACTAGACCACCAGGTCTATTTCTTTGACTTCTTAAAATCCCTCATATAGATGGAATCATACATTCTTTGTCCATTTGTGACTAGCTTATTTTACTTAGCTTGATGTCTCCCAGGCTCATTCATGTTGAATATGTGTCAGGATTTCCTTTTTTTTCTTTTTTGTACATGTTTATTTTGAGAAAGAGCACACACACGAATGCCCGCGTGAGCTGGAGAGGGGCAGAGGAGGAGAGAGAATCCCAAGCAGGCTTCTCCATGTCAGCACAGAGCCTTATTGCTGGCTTGATTGCAGAACCATGAGATGATATTGAACTGAGATGAAAACCCACTGAGCCACCCAGGCACCCCTCCTTTTTTTTAAAGCTCAATAATATTCCAATGTATGTGTATGCCACGATTTGTTTATCCATTCATCTGTAAATGGATACTTGGGTTGCTTCCACATTTTGGCTACCCTGAATGATGCTGCTCTGAACATGGGTGTACAGATATGTATTTCAGTCCCTGCTTTTAGTTCTTGTAGGTATATACCAGAAGGAGAATTGTTGTATCATATGGTAATTTTATGTATAATTTGTTGAGGGATTATCATATTGTTTTCCACAGTGGCTGCACCATTTTACATTCCTACCATCAGTGTACAAGCTTCCAATTTCTCCATATCTTGCCAACACTTTGGGTTTGGTTTTTTGTTTTTATTTTTGTGTTTGTTTTGATAACAATCATTTTAAGGGGGTTTGAAGTGATATCACATTGTGGATTTTATTTGCACTTCCCTAATGATTAGTTATGTTGAACATCTTTCATTTGTCTACTATCCATTTGTTTATCTAAGTCCTTTGGCCATTTTTGAATTGGGTTGTTTTTATGTTAAGTTTTAGGAGCTCTCCATATTTTCTGGATGAAGTCTCTATTAGATATGTGATTTGTGAGGTGCCTGGGTGGCTCAGTTGGTTAAGTGTCTGACTTTGCTTCGGGTCATGATCTTGATGTCCATGAGTTCGAGGCCCACGTTGGACTCTGTACTGACAGTCAGAGCCTGGAGACTGCTTCAGATTCTGTACCTACCTCTCTCTCTGCCCCTCCCCTGCTTGCACTCTGTCTCTCTCTCTCAAAAATAAACATTGAAAAAATTTATATACAAAAAAGATATGTGATTTGCAAATATTTTATCCCATTCTGTGGGTTGCCTTTATATTCTGTTGGTGGTGTCTTTTGATGCACAAAGGGTTTTAATTTGATGAAGCCCAACTTTGTCTCTTTTTTCTTTTGTTGCTTGTGCCTTTAGTGTCGTATCCGAAGAATCATTGCCAAATCCATTGTCATGAAACGTTTCCCCTATTCTGAGAGTTTTAGTTTAGCTCCAATGTTTGGGTCTTTCACCCATTTTGAATTTTTGTGTGTGGTATTAAATAAGGACCATTCCATTCTTTTGCATGTGGATATCCAGTTATACCAGCACCCTTTATTGAAAAGGCTGTCCTCCTTTCCTCCCTTAAATGGAATTGGCACCCTTATTGAAAATCATTTGACTACATGGGTGGGGGTGTTATCTGGGCTCTATTCCTTCCTGTTAGCGAATAGGTCTATACTTAATGCCAATATTACATTGTTTTTCTTGTTGTTTTTGGTTCTTTTAATTTAATTTTTTTTTAATTTAAATTTATTATGACAGAGAGAGAGAGAGAGCACATGTGTGCATCTGTGTGCACACAAGCAGGGAAGGAGCAGAGAGAGAGGGAGAGAGAATCCCAGTCTCCATGCTGTCAGCCCAGAGCCCAGACACTGGGTTTAATCTCACAACCATGAGATCATGACCTGAGCCAGAATCAAGATTCGAACGTTTGACCAATGAGCCACCCAGGTGCACCAATGCCAAGAATACACTGTTTTGATGCCTGTAGCTTTGCAGTAAATTTTGAATCAGGAAGTGTAAATTTTCCAATTTTGTTCTTTTTAAAAGACTGTACTTGGCTTTTTGGGGTTCCCTTTAAGTGTTCCATATGAACTTTACAGGGAGTCGATTTTTCTACTCTTGCAAATTGGGATTTTGGTAGGGATTGCGTTGGGTAGCATTGACATCATAACTCTTAAAAGTCTTCCAATCCATGAACATTAAGATGTTCTCTCCATTTATTATGTTTTTGATTTCTTTCAGTAATGTTTTTTGTAGTTTTCAGTGATTAAATTAACCATCTTAGTTATTTCTAAGTATTTCTTTTTGATGCTATTGTAAATTGAATTGTTTTTCTAATTTCCTTTACAGATAGTTTGCTGTCATTGTATAGAAACAATTGATTTTTGTTTGTTGAATTTGAATATCCTGCTACTTTTGCTGAATTTGTTTATTAGTTCTAACAGGTGTGTGTGTGTGTAATCCTTAGAATTTTCTGCATATAAAACCATAGCATCTGAGAACAGATAGTTTTACTTTTCCAGTATGGATGCCTTTACTTATCTAATTGTTCTGGTTAGGACTTCTAATTCAATGTTAAGTAAAAATGGTAAAAAAAGGCATCCTTGATCGGATTGTTTCAAGTTCTTTTTCTGCTTCCCCCCCCTCTATTTTACTTTGGTTTTCAGATGCTGCATTCTTGGGATAAATCCCACTTGGTCATATTGTATAATCTGCCTCATATGCTGGTAGATTTGGTTTGCTAATTTTTTTTTTGAGGATTTTTTTTGGGGGTATCTATCTTCATGAAAGATGTTGGTCTATTGTTTGCTTTACTTGTGTGATGAGTTTGTCTAGCTTTGGTATCAAGACAATGCTAGAATGAGTTAGCAAGTATTCCTTCCTCTTCATTTTTTTGTAAGAATTTGAGAAGCATTTATATTGAAATGTTTAGGATTCACCACGAAGCCATCAAATTCAGGCTTTTTCTTGGTCCTGGAGGCTTTTGATTACTGATTCAATCTCTTTACTAGTCACAGGTCTGTACGGATTTTCTTTTTCTTCATGAGTCAGTGTCGGTAGGTTTTGTCTTTTTGGGAATTTATCTATTTTATTTAGGTTATCCAAACTGTTGGCATAAAATTGTTCATAGGGCTCTTATAATCTTTTTCATTTCTGTAAGATTGGTAGTAATGTCCTTACACATTTTTCTTGGTCAATCTAGCTAAAGGTTTGGTAATTTTGTTAATCTCTCCAAAGAACCAACTTTTGGTTTCTTTGATATGTTTTTAATATTTTCTTCCTTATGCTAGCTTTGGGGTTAGTTCGTTTTTTTCCAGTTCTTTAAGGTGTAAAGCTAGGTTGTTGATTTGAGATTTTTTTAAAATTATAAGCATTTACACTATAAATTCTCTTTTATTATTTTTTTTAATCTTTATTTTTGAGAAAGAGAGGGTGTACACACGTGAGTGAAAGAGGGACAGAGAAAGAGAGAGAGACAGAGAGACAGACAGAGGACCCAAGCAGGCTCCGCAGTGTCACGACAGAGCCCAATGTGGGGCTCAAATTCACAAACTGAGAGATCGTGACCTGAGCCAAAGTTGGATTCTTAACCGACTAAGGCATCCAGGTGTCCTTAAATTCCCTTCTTAAGAGGGACATTGTGTAGAATATTTCCTGTTTAAATTCAGCATTATTTTTACTTCTCTGGTTTTTATAATATAATTTTTCATTTTATGAAAATCCTGATTTCTCACAATATTATTTTAAAGCTATTTTAATCATGAAAAGTAACACTCAAACAGAAAAGTGAATATAAGTAAGTGTACAGCTTAATGAATTATTACAAAGTGAAGACCTGAGACCTTGCCACCACCATAGCAGCTCTTCCAATGTCCCTTATCATTGTCCCCTCCCCCCCAATATAACTTGTAGTCTATTATCTGTACATAACTTCTTTGAATTCCTCTTTTCTGCTCTGTGATGTTTCTGTAATTGGTGTAAATGCTGAAATTGCTTTTTAAGTTTGCTTTCTTTGTATGTGGGTTTGAATGTTGCTCATTTTTCCCTGACCTGTGGCAGCATTTTTCTCTGAATTTTCTTTCCTTTTTGAGAAATTATAATCACTTATTTCTGTTTTGGTGTTTGAGTGTCTTTTATGGACACTGCATTTTTTACTTACACTTTGGTTTTAATATTTGAATAAATTGGTTTTTTTCTGGACTGTCCCAGTAGAGGAATAGATGGGAGATGGTGGGGTTGCTTTTCCAGTTTCTCAGCTCAAGAACTCTCTCCAATGTTACAGTAATGGGCAGCTTTAAAAAATATGGTTCTTGGATCCTGTCCTATTTCTACAACCAGTCTCTTCCTTTCTTTCTTTCACACCAGTCAGTCATCAGGATATACTTCCTTGGACTTCCAAGCCAGTCCCCCACTCTTGTTGAAAGTATGCCTCTTTTCCTTACTTCCTCCAATGCTTGATCTCAGACTTGTCTACAGCAGGTCCAACTCAGGTGAGAGCCTCTTCTGTAGGTAAATATTTGCAGATGGTTTCTAAGTTGTGCTAAAGCCATAACCCATCTGAAACTTCGTGGCTTTCTTTAAAAAAAAAATTTAATGTTTATTTATTCTTGAAAGAGACAGAGAGCGAGCAGGAGAGAGGCAGAGAGAGAGAGGGAGACACAAATCTGAAATAGGCTTCAGGCTCTGAGCTGTCAGCACAGAGCCTAACATCGGGCTTGAATCCACGAACTATGAGATTGTGACCTGAGCAGAAGTCAGATGGTTAACCACTTAACCAACTGATTGCCCCTGTGGATTTCTTTCTTTCTTTCTTTAATTTTTTAAAATAGTTTATTTATTTTTGACAGAGAGAGAGCATGAGTGGGGGAGGGGCAGAGAGAGGGAGACATAGAATCCGAAACAGACTCCAGGCTCTGAGCTGTCAGCACAGAGCCCGATGCGGGCTTGAACCCATGAACCGTGAGATCTGACCTGAGCCTAAGTCGGATGCTTAACCAAACGAGCCACCCAGGTGCACCCCCCACCCCCCGCCCCGCGTGGCTTTCTTATGCTGGTGTTGGATGTTCTTTCACCCTCACACTGAAATATAATCTTCCAGGGTTTTCTTGGTTTTGCTGAAGGTATAGGTTGTGGAATATTTTATTTGCCTTCTTAGTTGCTTTTTATGAGATAAGCAAAAACGTGCCAAGGAGGAAAAAATGGCATGAGGCACATCTAGGCTTCCACTGTGCTCTTATCAGCCAGACCTGCATCTTAGAAAGCCCAACTTGGAGAATGGCTCGGAGGCAGGATAATTTAGGCAAGATATATTGGAGGGTGAGGTCTGGAGATAGTGGAACTGGAATTTGAACTACAGTGAATTTCACCTGATTCTCTTTCTTCAAGGATACCGAGACGTCCATGTCCATCTTGGACATGTGTCCATCTCCTGGAAGTGGAGTGCATACCTCTTCGAATGATGACCCGTCAGGCATGCAACACTTCCCTCAGTGCACACAGCTGGAGAGGATCCCCTTGGCCTTGGCTGAGGCACCCAGACAGAATGCAAGTGATCTGGGGCCACAGTTCAATATGTCGCTGCCAGAGGATGGCGTGAGCTACAGCTCCCAAGTGATTCATGCTCCTTCCCAGATGACTTACTGTGATGGGATGTCTCCTTCCCAGCCAGGAATGATGGTTTTCAAGGGACCCCAGATGATGGCCTTAGGAGAACCCAGTATTCCAGGGGTGGCCATGACATTTTGTAGGACTCTAAAGATGCCCTCCAGTGGGCCGCCAGTCTCAGCTCCCAATAGAATCTCAATGATGCCCCACATCAGTGCACCCACAATGCCTTATTCTGCCCCCCAAGCGGTACCTCCTGATAGAGACTCTTTAACACCTACAATGTCATTGGCCCCAACCACGTCTGAGGTCCAGGCAATGCTCCCTTCTTTGGCTCAGATGTTGCCCCCTAGAGATCATCATAACTTTGGGATGCAACCAGCTGGGTCCCCATCATTTCAGGCTTTAAAATCCCAGGACCATCTCATGAGCCAGCCAGCCTCCCAGGAAGACTCCTTGCTACCCAAGCAGCCTATACAAGCTCCACAGAGAGTGGAACGGAACTCCAAGGCCCAGGAAAGGGCCCCCAGGAGATCCCCAGTTTCAAGGCCTTACTCCTGCCAATATGAGAACTGTGGAAAAGCTTATACTAAGCGCTCCCACCTTGTGAGTCACCAACGCAAACACACAGGTGAAAGAGGTGTCAGAAAGGAGGGGTAAGGTTGGGTGGGGTGGGGGAGTCTCTGGGCTTTAGATTTGCACTGGGCCATCGGTTTGTCATGGCTTGGGGTTAGCTTGTCATCTTTCAAGTTTGGGCTCAAGCTATATTGGCCCCACCAGTTTGCTTTCCCATGGTCCAGTGTGACTGTACCAAGATGATGGGGACTGCTGATTGTGTTCCCTCCTCATTCCTTTCCTATGGGGTTCTTTTGGTTTCTCAGCCTCGACTACTCTTCCTCATAGAGTGAGACCCCTTCCTATGCACCTGGTGACTTATTCTTCAACTTACTTTCTTCTGTCTCTTGTCACCCCTACCCCCAGGTGAGAGGCCTTATAAATGCGTGTGGGAAGGCTGCACATGGTCTTTCTTCCGTTCCGATGAGCTTGGACGACATATGCGGATACACACCAGATATCGACCATATAGATGTGATCGGTGCGGCCGACAGTTCATGAGATCTGATCATCTCAGACAACACCAAAGGACTCATCTGCGGATGCCAGGATCCCCAGACCCACAGGCCAACAATGGGAAAATGGCTGGTCCTCCTGCTCCTTCTTTAGGTCAATCTCTTCTCTTTAGTTTGGCTTCTCCTCCCAGATCCTGCCTGCCTCTGACCAGCTAGTCTCTGGTAGGTGTAGGCTTAGATGAAGACAGAGAAAGATCATGAGGTGGTGTTAAAGCCTATATGATCTCTGGACCCAGTCAGAGACTCCTCAAAAACTGTCTTGTATGCCCTCACATCTCTGGGGCCACCTACTTCTCTCAAGTTTAGCCACATGGGAAGATGGAGGAAAGTAGAAATTGGAAGCTTTATCAAAAAGCTCTTTATCTTCTATCACTCCCCAGCTCCAAACCCTTTAGTGACTCTCCTTTGCCTGCTACATAAAATTCGACTTCTTTATCTTCGTCTTTTATAGTTTCCAGACCCAGACTATGTTCAAATCCTGAATTTACCATCTATTAGCCATGTGACCTTGGGAAAGGTCCTTGATTACTTTGCCATGTTTCCTCTTCTGGTAAATGAGAAAAAAAGTATTGGACTGCTTGGGACACTTATGTACCAAATCAGATTCTCTCTGGCATTCATCAGCCATAAGCCCAGAGATTGTCTTGTCCTACAGCTTCCAGACTCGCATGGAATGCCCCTCTGCAGGGCATGGGATCTGGCATCTCAAATTGCCATTAACAACCCAGAAGTGTGAGGGAGTTACTGCTCCTGGAATAACATTTGACTAATGGAATATGGGAGAGAGTCAAGCAGATAAATTCCTTCCTCCCTCCCTTTCTTCAATTGCTACAAGGCACTGTGTCTCCAAACTGTACAGCCAAGGGGGAGACTTCCCATGTAACCAATGGGCACACCTACCTAGGGTGTTTCCTCAAGGCTTGTCCAGAAGCAAGACCCAACTGCTATCACTTTGCATTACCACCAGTTTTTCCTCGCCTTGCTTCCCTTTTCTTACTTAGTGCCCTGGGTTTGCAATTCTCAAATAAAACATCAGTAATTAGTTCTTGTTTTAGGCTCTGTTTTCTAGGTGATTTGGGGGTGGAGAACAGAGAAGGACAAGCCCTATTGTAACTTCCCCTCCTCCCCTCACTGAGCCCAGGTACCTGGACTACCAAATACCAGGTATTAAAGGCCCTGTCCTACGTTGTTCCTCTCCATAGGGCTGAGAGCATAATGACTATCCTGGATACTCAGGTAGTTTTGAACCTTGTTTCTGGACTTCTCAGCTAGCCGTTACACTAGGCAGCAAACTAATAAAAAGGAACTTGCCCGAACTCTCAGGTGGCAGAGCTGGGATCCCGACCAGAATCTCTCTGCCCTAGAGATAATGCTTTCTGCTGGTATTGCCAAGCACTTTCAGGAGATGGCCACAGAGAGATGAATCAGGTCGAGTTCCTGTGGCCAAGGGGCCATCTTGCTCTAGGGCTGAAGAGTCCATCTAGGTGTGGTGACCATGGAGAGGATGAACATCTAAAGGGGAGGGCCAGAAAGGCCATCTGGGGGAGGTGACCCTTGAGCTCAGTAAGTGAGTATATGTAACATCTAGTAACCCCTTATTGTAATAAATTGAGCAGGTGAATGAAGAGGAAAGAATTCCAGACAGAATGTGCTGGACCAACCCAACTGCTTAGAGGAGAGTCAACCTGCAAGCAAGCTTCCATTCATTTGACCAATGTTCTTTGAGCCCACTACAAAGAGCATCACGGCTATGGGGACTGGTGTGAGCGGCACAGAGACAATGGAAGAGCGTGTCAAGGAAGAAAGACTTCTCAAGGAGGTGCCTGAGTCAGACCTGAAGGGCTCATGGGGGTTAGCTAGCCTCCCATTTTCTGTGTGTTTACCCTTGGTCATGGCCCTGTGTTGGACACTAAGGACTCAGAGCATGACACTGCCTTGCTGTGGAGCATAAAGACTACAGATAAACATCCCGAGAGCACTCAGTGTTGCCAAGGAGAGGAGCCAAACCTCTGTGGGCTCAAATTTATTCTGGGCATTGTGAAAGTCCCACAGATTTGGTGATCCCTGTCACCCCCATCCCCACCCTGGCCATTCTTGCACGGCCACCTTGGTCTGTTCTCCAAGTGGCCCCAGTGTACCTGGTCCAGGCATCCAGGTGCCCTCCACTCAAACTCTGAGTGAGGGGAGTAGCCATGATAAATAAGGGCAGGGGGTGCATGTTTGTGACCCAATTACTTGCCCCAGGTCTCAAGTGCCTGAGGTCTCTTAACTTCCCACCTGGGAACTAGGTCCCTTCTCTGAAGCAGGACATCTCAAGCTGAATGGGCCAAGGCTGATCTTCATACCCTGCCCCACCTGCCTTACACATATGCCTGCTGGTAAGGTCAGCAGGCCAGATTGCAGGGTGGGATTCAAGAGAGAGGTCTGTTGGTGACTCATCACTTTCATCAAGGAATGGAACTGAGAGGAGCCAGAGTGGGCAGGGGTGTGCCACATACACTACAGTGGAGCCCTTGTGGAGGCCACAATCTGGTGGAGGAAGGACATAAATATGTATGGAGTGCGGTGAGGACAAATAGCAGGGACTTGCTGTAATAAGACAAGGGGGCGCCCTCAGGAAATGTGGTTTGAGCTCAGAGGAAAGGACTAACTGGGAGTTAGGCGGGTGAGGAGGTGATTGGAAGAGAATAGTCTTTTTATTTTATTTTATTTTTTATTTATTTCTAGAAGAGAGAGAGAGAGACAGCGTGAGCAGGGGAGGGTCAGAGAGAGAGGGAGTCACAGACTGAAACAGGCTCCAGGCTCCGAGCTGGCAGTCAGCACAGAGCCCGACGCGGGGCTCGAACCCACGAACCGCGAGATCATGACCAAAGCGAAAGTCGGACGCTTAACCGACTAAGCCACCCAGGCATCCCTAGTCTTTTATTTAGAGGTTACCTTATGGCAAGCCTTGGCTAAGCCTTTCTTGGTATTATCTTATTTGACACCAGGCAGGGTAGTGGGTGGGATAAAGACCTTATGGACTCCCAAGTAAATCTGTAGATTTTGAATCCTGTCTCTGCTATTTCCTGGCTGTGTGGCCTTGGGCAATTTACTTAATTTCTTTGCACCAGATAGCAAGGGGGCAAGATTGACACCTTTAAGCTAAAGAGAGATTTAGTTACACTTAAAAATGTTTTCTTCTGCTTAAGGGAGAAGGAGTGATTTCGATGGGATTTCTGTGCTCCAGGTGGGCGTGGAAGGTGGCTTGGGCAGGGTGTGGCAGTGTGGGTGGAGAGTAGTAGAAAGATTTGCCATAAAATCCACGGAGGTGATAGCTGCATTTGGTTGGCGAGGGTGTGGCCAAAGATGACTTCCGGATTTATAGCTTGTGTTTTAAGTGACGCAGGAGAATGGATGAGATTCATTAATTTATTTTTCTGTTTTGAAATTGATGTCTCTCATGTGCAAAAAACTAGTTTACTTATATAATTTAAAATAATAACTTATTTACACTTATGCTGCATTTGAAGCCTCTGCGTTCCCCTCTGACCACAATCCTCATCTTCTGCAGAGGATCCTGAATTTTGGTTACTCATGTATTTACTTTTCTTTGTTTTAAACCATATGTAAATGGTTCTTAAACCATATAGTGATTTGTTTTATGTGGTTTTGAATTGTGTTTATTCTGTTTGGGGTTCACTGAACATCTTTAATGTGAAGGTTTGTAGTCTTAGTGAAATTTGGAAATTTTTGGCCACGTTTTGTCAATTTTTTTGTCCCCTTCCCCTTCTTTTTCCTCCTGACACACAATCTGCCCGTATAATATAGACCCTGTGATATCTCACAGACCACTGACGCCCTGTCCGTTTTTGTCAGCCTTTTCATTCACATTTAAATGCCTTCAAGCTAACTGCTGGTTTCTTCTGTGGTGTAATCTGCTTTCAGTTTTTTCAGATTCTCTACTTTCCATCTCTAGAAATTCCGTCTGGATCTTTATAAATCTTCTATTTCTCTCCTGATCATGCTCAGTTTTCTCTTCCTTTTGAACATATGAAACATAGTTAAAATAGCTGTTTGAATGTCCTCAGATGCTAGTTCCATAATGTTTGTCTTTTTTTTAAAAGTAATTTTTATTTATTTTATTTAGTTTTCAAAGTTTATTAATTTTGATAGAGAGCACAAGTGAGGAAGGAGCAGAGAAAGGGAGAGAGAATCCCAAGCAGGCTTCATGCTGAAGTGTTGTGTGTGTATACACATCCTCTTTATCCATTCATCAATGGTCACATGGGTTGCTTGCATACCCTGTACTGTTAGTAATGGTGCAATATACATAGGGGTGCATATATCTTTTTGAATTAGTGTTTTCATTTTCTTTAGGTAAGTACCAAGCAGTAGAATTACTGGATCATATGGCATTTTTATTTTTAATGTTCACTTATTTTTGAAAGAGAGCACAAGTGGGGTGGCACAAGAGAGGAGGAGATAGAATACCTGAAGCAGGCTCTGCACTGAGAGCAGAGAGCCCAATATGGGGCTCGAAGTAAAAAACTGCGAGATCGGGGCGCCTGAGTGGCTTAGTCGATTAAGCGTCCGACTTTTACTTAGGTCATGATCTCGCGCGCGGTTCGTGGGTTCGAGCCCCGCGTCGGGCTCTGTGTTGACTGTCAGCTCAGATCCTGGAGCCTGTTTCAGAGTCTGTGATTCCCTCTCTCTCTGACCCTCCCCTGCTCACGCTGTCTCTCTCTCTCTCCTAGAAATAAATAAAACATTAAAAAAAAAAAACAAAAAAAACCCCTGCGAGATCATGACCTGAGCCAAAGTCAGACACTTAACCAGCACCCTGACATTTTTATTTTTTTATTATTTTTTTAATGTTTTATTTATTTCTGAGAGAGAGACAGCATGAGAACGAGAGGGTCAGAGAGAGAGGGAGACACAGAATCTGAAACAGGCTCTGAGCTAGCTGTCAGCACAGAGCCCGGCGTGGGGCTCGAACCCACAAACCGTGAGATCATGACCTGAGCCGAAGTCGGACGCCTAACCGACTGAGCCACTCAGGAGCCCCGACATAATGTTTAATTAGAGGAACCTCCATACTGTTTTCCTCAGTGACTGTACCAATTTACATTCCCACTAACAGTGCACGAGGGTTCCTTTTTCTTCACATCCTCACCAATACTTGTTATTTGTCTTTTTGATTCCAGCCATTCTGACAGGAATAGGTGCTATATCATTTTGGTTTTGATTTCCATTTCTCTGATTAGTAATGTTGAGTGTCTTTTCATGTATTGGCCATTTGTGTATCTTTAGAAAAATGTCTATTCAAGTCCTCTACCCATTTTTAAATCGGATTATTTTTCTAGTGTTGAAAGTTGCATAAGTTTTATATATTTTGCCTCTTATTAGATATATAATTTGCAAATATCTGGGAGAATAATGTTTTTTAAGTAGCAATGTAGTGAGAGATCGTAAGGTAGGGATGGGTGGGGATGTCTTCACAAGGCAGAGATGTGGCAGGATGTGAAGGCAAGCAGAAGAGACAGCTTCCTGGAGGACATGGAGGATGTAGGGAGCTCTCAGATTATGGACTTTCAGAGAGTACAGAGGGAGCTTGGAGGAAAGATGGGAAATAAAAATGATAGAAGTTTCCAAGGGACTTTGGCAATTGTCTGCGCAGTGTTAGAACTTGCATTATTTTTATTCTTGTTCATTCATCAAAAAATTTACTAGGGTCTCCTGGGTGCCCAGGGCCTCAGTGATGGGAATACAGTGGCCAAGTGGGCAACTAGACCTTAGCTTCTCCTGGAGCTCTGAGCTAAATGCAAGAGAAGCTGATTCAGAACCAGGTGATCACAATTGCATTTGGAAAGCCCATCTTGGTTGTCTTGGGTGGAGAATGGATGGGTTATTCTGTGCTGAAGAGCATGCAGCTGCATTTGGGGGAAGGCAGAGGATTGTAGTCCCGCACAGTCAAGCAGACTGTTGAGGAATGGTTGAGTTCAGGAAGGTGAGCTGTAAAGAACTGACTTAATTCCATAGGTCACCTCCCAATGCCCCGCTGAAATCCCTGGTGGCCAGCTCTGTGCTGAGTGCATCTGATGATTCTGCTTTTGTAAAGGTGCTGGGGGGATGGCTGGCTTGAGGCTCTGGGGCTGCAGCTACTACCCTCCCAAAGGCAACTTGCCTGGGCCAGGTCTGGGTCCAGAGGAGAACAACCTCTCCTCAATCTGGGCTGGTGTAGAATTCAGCCACTCTTCGCAGACTGGAAAGATCATTTTTAAAGAGAATCCTAGGTTCTGGGGAAATGGGGATGGAAGGCACCTATAGAATGAAGCCCTGAATGGGTATGGAAAAGGTATGTGGGGTCAAGTGGGGGAGAGATAGGAATGATGACATGTAAATGGGGTTTTAGAAAACACTGGCACAGGGGCGCCTGGGTGGCTTAGTCGGTTAAGCGTCCGACTTTCGCTTAGGTCATGATCTCACGGTTCGTGGGTTCGAGCCCCGCGTCGGGCTCTGTGCTGACTGCCAGCAAAGAGCCTGGAGCCTGTTTCAGTCTGTGACTCCCTCTCTCTCTGAACCTCCCCTGCTCACGCTGTCTCTCTCTCTCTCTCCTAGAAATAAAAAAACATTAAAAAAAAAAATTAAAAAAAAAAAAAAAA